AAACGATAACGAAGTTCGTTAAGACTAAAATGTATGGGATTGACATAGGCCGCGTTAAGTCACGTGGTCAATCGACATCGTTATCGCAATTTGGTAGACAATGTTATATTTCATAACGAAACTATAAAGTAACGAATCGTTATCGTGTTTATTCCATATAAATGCGTAGACAAGCAGACCTTTCAGTGTTCGCCAACGCCTCGATCGTGATCGCCAAAAAAGATAACGAAACGAATGCTAAAACGTTGTAGTTATTGAAACAATATGGCCGAATTTCATTCGGCAGCAGATTTTTGACATCGATTGATCCTGTTATTATTTATTTTGTGTTAGAGGCAATACACTAATACAGATCAAATAGATTAAAATATGCATTCTCTGCGTTTATTGTGGGCTGCACACAATGAGACCGCCTGGGAGAGGCGCCAAAAACGGTTAAAACAGCGACGGTTCAACATAGGTACTTCATTGTTAAGATCGCGTCATTGTTTACATTACATACTCATGAATGAAACTTAGATTTACTTACGTTTCCATATACTCGAGCAGCGTTGCGAATTGTTCAGAACTTGCTCGCACTCTTGATTCCATGTTTTATCATTTAAATAGATAAGAAATAGAGAGAGATCCATCATCGTTTGAACACCAGTCACTTATAAAAATGAGTCTATTTTGATTATCATTAAGTTTTGGAAACGATCTAAAAGTAATAACACTCTATTCACTTACGACTGTAAAATTATCGTTTATATTTAACTTAAAAACAATTAAACGCTACACTCACTTTCTTATTAATAAAATTTTAAAACATCAATATCTCGCGGGTTTGATCCGATTTGAACTTTTTGACTGTCACTGACAGCTGGATTTTCGATACCATAACCAATATTTTTGTTTTTTGCCGAATAAAGAATTCGACACAACGATCACGACCACAGTGTTACATTGGCTAGGAAATGTTTATCGTTATCTCAGAGACGATGGCGAATTTACTTTTCGTTTCGCTATTAAGCGATGTTACTTTGTCTAAGGACCCTGGTGTCCATGGGCGACTCTGATTGCTTACCATCACGTGATCCGTCTGCTCGTATACCGGCTTATCCCATAAAAAGAAGAATAAAATATGTTTTTGTTTAATAATAATAATAATAAAATACCTCGACCGGAAAACACATTCAGAATTTATTTTTAACTCATTCGCTATACTTATACTAAATTGCGAAAGGTCACACGTTCTATTCTAGACGGATCAAGTTTTTTATTTTATTAAAAAAATATATATTATTATGTACATTTTAATAATAAGCTAAAATGCAAAATCGTATAAATGTTTCCTGTTTTTTTTTAATAATATTATCATATAACCGAAAATATAACGAACGCGTAACTTTAAAAGGATAGGCAGAAGTGAAAGGTACACCCACTATTTTAACCGACTTCAACAAAAGGAGGTTATCATATCATTTATTAGTCCGATGTATTATAGTAGGCGAGTCTATTTCCATAAATATATTATAAAGTGATATTTGCACAAAGTGATAATGTGCACCTCTGCCTACTTCTTCGGGAATAAGAGGTGTGATGTTATATTATGTAATATGATGTACAAAACTTATTTAAAAATATTTTTTCAGTGAGACATGCCAAAATATGTTTGTAAAGGTTTTTTATATATTTTCGAAAATGTGATAGGATTTTGAAACCGTACATGTTCGTTGAAGTCAAAGTATAAGCCAAAGTCAGTCATTTATTTCAATTAGACCAGGAAGGCACTTTTGAACGTCAAAACAAAATATTAAATAATAAAAAAAATGTCAGTCTGTAGGTCAGTCCTCTAGTGAAGCTATTTGCTCGTTCCAAAGTGTAGATTCCTATGGAGAAGAACGATCAAGACACTCCATAGGTTACTCTTTTTCAATCTGGTTCACAATACAATTTTTGGTTACATTATCTATCTATATAAATAAAAATCAATTCCCGTTCGTTAGTCTCGCTAAAACTCGAGAACAGCTGAACCGATTTGGGTAATTCTGGTCTTAAAATGTTCGTAGGAGTCTAGGGAAGGTTCAAAAGAGAAAAATAATTTTGGCGGTACGTAGTTCGCCGGGTCAGCTAGTTAAACATATATATAGTGGGCTGTTTAGGTATGTATTGGTCCCAGCTATCTCTACTCACAGTATAGTATACTATTTACTGGACGATAAATAAAATAATTCTTCACTAAGAATGCCCATCGCCATTCATACATTGCTAAGATTCCCATTCTAAGATAATTAAAACAATAGACAATAGGTAAATTATTATTTATAATTACAAAACACGCTGTTTAGACATACTTACTTATTATAAATTTTTCTCCAGTTACGAGTTTATAATAGGGTTTTTTTAAGGGGGAAAATCATCGAATGACTTCTCCCCTTGACTGCCTCGTTGGCCGAGTAGTCGCAAGTGCGACTGCCAGGCAAGGGGTCTCGGGTTCGATTCCCGGGTCGGGCAAAGTATTACTGGGTTTTTAAAAAATCTAAGTAGTATCACGGAGTCTGGAAATGTGCCCGGTATATGGCAATAGGCTCACCCCCTATTACATGGAACTCATAACATAAATAGTGAAAAGTAGGTGTTACATTGTACAGTGGTATAATGTACACCTCTGCCTACCCCTTCGGAGATAAAAGGCGTGATGTTATGTATGTAGCACGGAGTCTGGAAAGGAAATAGGCTCACTCCCTATTACATGGGACTCATGACATAAATAGTGAAAAGTGGGTGTTACATTGAACAGTGGCATTAAGTGTCGAAATGTGCACCTCTGCCTACGCCTTCGGCGATAAAAAGACGTGATGTTATGTATTATGTATGACTGCTCCCGTCTGGGTGAGGGAGTGTTAGACTCTTACTGACTAAAAACCACCCCATTCCTTCTTCTGCACGTCGACCCGGAGCCGCGGTTACCCGTTAGGTTCTCCGCGACAATAGGGTAGTATCCTAAATTTTATTTCAATATCCGTCTGGTATATTATTTGAAAATATTAGACACGTATTTTTTCTTTTCTTAAAAAATTAAACAGTTTCGACGGTATATGGATGTGAAATATCGTATGACGTCACGACGATTTACTACATTTTACAGGGTAGCGTGATGTAACGACTCCTAAACTTAACTCCGTTTTATCTAAGTATTGTTTTATTATACGACAAAATAAAAAATACGTGTCTAATATTTTTTCATTACCTAACTTACGGACTAATTATATTTTTAATTTTCATACCCTGTCTATGCTATTGTATTAATAATGTGTCCGTTGCCACATACCGTATGCAATTCCAAACTCCATGACATTTTATCGATATACCAACTAAAATTATCTTCTACTTTAAATGAATTCAAATATTTTACCAAATAAATGAATACAATAGACAATAAAAACAATAAAAAGGATATAAAAAACATAACATAACATAACATCACGCCTCTTATCCCCGAAGGGATAGGTAGTGAGCACACTACGACACTTAATGCCACTGTGCATCATAATAACACCCACTTTTGTTTGTTATCTATTGCAGACTCCGTGCTACTACTGAGATTTTTTTAAAAACCCAATTATACTTTGCCCGACCCGAGAAACGAACCCGAGACCTCTTGGCCAGCAGTCGCACTTGCGACAAATCAGTAAACGAGGCAGTCTCAATCATTAAAAAAAATAATTAAAAACAACAACATGCCCACGCTAAAAGGACTTGCCGACTGTGTGTGCTCAGTATAAGTTTCCAACACTGGTTTACCTGGCCTTTACAAATTTATACTAAGTTGAATAACAAAATGTTTACTACTTATAATATGAGAACCTATTAAGTTTTTATTTTCTAATTTCTATTATATAAAAATATCTGTATTTTCATGTTTTTTTATATACTTAGTATTTGTGTGCCTATTTGTCGAATAAATATTTTTTTCTTCCTTTCTTTCCTTTCTAAATAATAACCTACCTCTTCCAAATTTTATAATATCGGTTTAAGCTAATGTCAACCTTACAGTTACAGCGTAAAGTCCACTGCGGGCAACCCCGTCCGACCAGAGGCCTTAGTATGAGTTTCATTTACGTTTAAAGTATTCGTAACGAGTTCGCGTTCGGCACTCTGATTGGCCGGCGCCAATAAAGCAACCAATCGGAGCGCCGAACGCGAACTCGTTACGATTACTTTAAACGTAAAACAAACTCGTACTAAGGCCTCAGAACCAGACCCGACCGTACGGCGCGTCGCGTTCCGCGCGTGCCTCAAAGAGCCATCAGGCCACCACGAATGGTGCCCAATAAGGCTGATGCCGGTACGGAGTCGCGGAGAACCTAACGGGTTACCGGGGCACCAGCTCGAAGTGCAGGTGTAGAAACGGGGTAGTTACCAGTTAGTAAGAGTCTGAAACTCCCTAGGAGGGACCTAACCCAAAGCCGGAGAAGTAATTTGACTGCACGGTTGGTGCGGTGGCTGGGCAACCGGATGCCGTGCAACGTATTGTGGGTTCGATTCCCGCACGGAACGACACTTTGAGTAAACCACAAATTGTTGTTTCGGGTCTGGGTGTCATTGTATATGTGAACTTGTATGTTTGTAAACGCACCCACGACACAAGAGGAAACCCTAATGAGGGGCAACGTCTTCTTTAAAAAAAAAACGATGAACTATTTCTTTATGTAATAAATCTTATAATATTATTTTATTCTAAAGCTGAAAAGTTTGTTTATTTGAACGCGCTGATCTCAGGGACTACTGGTCCAATTTGAATAAATCTTGTTGTGTTGGATAGTGCATTTATCAAAGAAAGTCATAGGCTATAGAACATCACGCTACGATCAATAGCGAGCGGGCGAAACCGCGTGGAAATTGCTAGTGAACACAATACAATAAAATGTTCTACAATAATTCTCCTTCACAATACCAATGTTCACTGCACGTCTACCCGTTATCTTAACTAAGGAAATCACTTGAAATCAGTCAGACTTCACAACCGGTTGTGATTACATGTGTCGTTATAAAATTATTTATTTATTTTTAAAATTAGTTTCTTATTCAGTGTTAGTGTATAATAATAATTATAAATATTACTAATAATCGGTGAGTGTACTACAAAGTTTATTTCTCGCGAATTATACTATTAGGTACTTTAATAAGTGTCGTTATAAAATTATTTATTTATTTTTAAAATTAGTTTCTTATTCAGTGTTAGTGTATAATAATAATTATAAATATTACTAATAATCGGTGAGTGTACTACAAAGTTTATTTCTCGCGAATTATACTATTAGGTACTTTAATAAGTGTCGTTATAAAATTATTTATTTATTTTTAAAATTAGTTTCTTATTCAGTGTTAGTGTATAATAACAATAATTATTATTAATAGTATAACTAATAACAGGTGAGTGTACTTTAACGTTTATTTTTCGCGAATCTTACTATTATTTAAATATTTCAAATACGAATAATATTGTGAGTTTGTGTGTAAGTTCGTAACTCGATTACATCAAAACGGCTGTAGGGATCGGGATGGAATTTGAAACAGTAGTAGATTATGGTCTTTTTTTAAGGGGGAAAATCATCGTATGACTGCTCCCGCCTGGGTGAGGCGGGAGGAAGTGTCAGACTCTTACTGACTAAAAACCACCCCGTTCCTTCTCCTGCACGTCGAGACGGAGCCCTGGTAGGTTAGGTTCTCCGCGACAGTAGATTATGATCTGGAATAACATTTAGGCTACTTTTTATACCTCTAGAATGCGGGCAAAGCCGCTAGCAGAAGCTAGTACTTGTATAAGTGTGGTAAATAATAAAATGTTACCTATAATATAATTATAATCCTTGCATTGTATTATAAGTAAGTGTTTTTATTCGTGTTCGTTTGTA